GGTAAAATAAAATGGAATGCATAAGAAGTTTCTTCTAACATTTACAAGATAAAATCTGGTTACAATGTTATGTCAGGAATCCTAACAAGTAATTCATTGGTGTCCTAACAAGTAATTATGCCTGGAATCGTAATGATTTCCTCTACAGAAACTATATTCTCAATGCATTAGATGATTCGTTGTATGATGTTTATGTGGTATGCAAAACAACCAATGAACTTTGGGAATCACTTGAGAAAAAATATAAAACAGGGGATGTTGGTTTAAAGAAATTTGTCGTGGGCAAATTGTTGGACTACAAAATGGTAAATTCCAAATCCGTTGTCTCTCAACTTGAAGATCTCCAAAAAATCATCCATGACATTCATGTTGAAGGGATGGTGAGGAGGATATCGATAGGATGATGAGGAGGATGTCGATGGGGAGGTCCATCAACTGCGTTGTGCCCTTGTACTGCCTCATCCTTTTGGTACTAGGCATCTCCGTAGTAGTGCGTTGACTGATCATTCTCTTTGTTCTTCTCGGCATCTTAGTACTAGAAGAAAAAAAGCTCATCTATCACGGTCAATGTCCATGATAGATTGCAATCTACCACGAACATTGTGCCTGTTAGTAATCTGAATGTGATAAAAAATCTTATTTTCTACCACAAGTCTTGTTCGTTGTCAAATGTAATATAATCACAGCTTGTGCCCGTCGTAGATCAAGATCTAATACCACGTGCTATGGCCATTGTGAATTACAAATTGATTACGGCCAATGCCCGTTACAAAAATTTTCTCAAAAATAAAAAAAAAAATAATAAATTAGTCAATAAATAAATAAGTACATATATATAAAGATATTTATATAGAAAACTGCACATTTATTTCATAAAAGTTCACATATTCAAATATTACACTAAAGCTAACGACAAAATGAGTAGTTATAGTAAGAAATACCAAACCATTGAGTTATGCTAGAATGTACCAAAAACATGTATAGACCTAGTTTCACACTCAAACAAAACTTAAATCCTAGTTCCAAACTTGGTCGTCCAATCATATTCGTCTCCTCTGCACTCATTTATTCAAGAGGACAAACATCTCTAGCAAGCCAATGCACACTTCATAAATGTAATAGTTGATATTTGAATTGTAAACCCTTGTGAATTTGAACCACCAACCACCTATGAGATAAACAAGGGTAAATATAAAGCTTAGAAATCAAAAACTCATGTCTCAAGAACATCATATACAGAAAAGTTCAAATCCACAAAGTCATTTACACAAAAGGCAAGCAATCATGATCCAAGTGAGTACATGGTGCCTGTCGAAAATAATTGATTGCAAGAATTCAAGGTTCCTTTTTTATTTCAAACCACTTGCCATAGATTGACTTTCTTACTAAAAGAATTTTGTGACATGAAAAATAGCAGTGAAAATGTAGAAGAGTTTTGTGACATGAAAAATAATCCCACTCTTCAACTAATTTAGCATGGTTGTAATTGCTAACCAATCTCTAGCAGCATCTGAATTATAAGGACCAATAAATCAAGGAATGTAACCATTGAAACTTCATTTAGCATCAGATACACTACATACCAACTCTTGTTCAAAATCCAGTAAAGTAAATATCTTTAATTCTCCGACAATAGTAAACACATAACTATAACAAAATTCAATACCAGAACCGAGACTTATCACACCAAAGAAACACATCAACCAAACCATTATCCCAACTTTAGAAATTCCAACTGTAACATCAAATTTTTTACCCCTCCGATCTTTAGGTATTATCGCAATTACGCAACCCTAAATCTAATAATTTTAAGAAATACTATAGCACCAATTGAGAGAGGAATTGCGATAATACCTAAAGATCGGACAGAGATGAAAGTAAGAGCGTTTCCTCTGCTGAGGGTTCCGAAAGAGAATTACAGGGAAAACTGATGGATTTATGCATCAGCAACATGAATTAAAATGACAATCAAAGAGGGAAGAAAAAAAACCTTTTTGAGGGCTTTGATTTCGACAACGGTTTCGATTTCCATCGGAAGGAGGCTGGCGGTCTATCTATTTGCAGCGAGGGAGAGGGAGAGGAGTGACAGTGGGCAGAACGGCTTAGTTTTAACTTTTTTACTAACTCCTCGCGTTTATTTTCCAGTAGCGTGAAATTTGAAACATTTCAAATTTTGGGAAATTTTCGAAAATTGTCTAGTCTTTCCTTCTGATTTTTTTTTTAAAATAGTGTGAGTAATTGCACCACATTTAATGTCTGTGGTAGATAAAAAAATGCTATGTGATTACTAATAATATTGACCACGGTTAATACCCGTGGTGGTTTAATATTTTCATAACATGCTAATTAAGACCGTGGTAATAAATTATTTTATTATAACGGGTCATTATTTGTATGTTGTAAAACACTGTTATCTACAACATTCAGACCAAGTTCTTGGTAAATGGTCACTTTGTATAACAAGCACATAATATCCGTGATAAAATTGATACGGTAAATGAACTATTTTCTTGTAGTTCGTTCTCTTGGTCTGCGGCATCTCCGTAGTCCAGTGCATCATTCTCTTGGTCCTTGATATCACAGTAGTCCTAATACCAGCGTAATAAAACAATTAAAGATTGAATTCTCGAACTCACACGTATGGGAACTAAACTACACAATATAGAGAGAGAGAGAGAGAGAGAGAGAATCGTATGATCGTCAAATGCGCGGCGGGAAGAATGTGATGTGGGATTGAAAGGTTGCTTTTATATGGAGGAGGTTATGATGAGATTAACAAAGGATATCTTTTCCTACCAGGAATAAGAATTGCATTTTTTTTTTCTTTCCTAGACAATCAGGGTGCGTTTGTTGCATCGAATTATTTTGGATTGGACTAACTTCAAGGACTAAGCTGAACTAGTTTAGACTAGACTCAGTTGGACTGACTTAGTAAAGCGTTTGAGGTAGTGCCAGATTAAGAAGAAGGGTAATAAAAATAGTACTGTTCACACCACCAAGTCTGAGAAAACAAGTTTTTACTTGGGATATTGATAGATCCATAACATTTATGGGTTCCACGCCACCAAGTTTAAAACAAACAAAAATTCAGATTAATCAGCTAACCATAAAGATTGAATCTTTACTAAATTGTAAAATTGAGAAGTAAAAATCTGGGTCATATTATTTTGTTGACAATAAAATCATACAACCTTAGATATAATCATACAACAAACAAAGAGGGAAACAAATTAAAAACCTTAATCAGATAGAAAAACAGAATGAACTCGCATAAAACGCAACAACTCCAGAAGTGTAATCCGTAGGCAACTTAATGGAAGCACTAAAAATCCCATGCTGATAGAGGTCCTGAGAAACAAATCCAGACCCTGCAAATATACATAGCCACCAAAAACCAAACAAAGACAACAACTTTAAGATCAAAAGACCCATGATATGCCGCCAGTTCAAAAACCCAGAAACCAAAAAATCATAACCCTTTCAAATGATTCTCAAGACAAAAACCCAAAAGGGAAACGATTACAAACCTGTTCATTCGTCTAGTGAGAGATGGACGGATTTCCCATCTCTAAGGATCATCAAATTGTCAAGAAAAATAGTAGAAAAATTGAAAACAAATGGGTAGCAATCAATTAAAAAACACACCCAATCGCACCCAATTTTTGTGATAAAAATTAAAAAATTTCAGAGACTTGGAACCCAAAAAAACAAAATCGATAAAAAAACCAATAATAATTTCAGATCTGCAAAACCAATTCGGAGAGGAACAGGATGATGACGAGTAGGGGTTCGGTGCGGTTTCGAGTGAAATCGCAATCGAAACCGAAATTTTTTGCGGTGCGGTTTTGAAGTCAAAACCAAAATGAAACCAAATCGTTTGGTTCGGTTCGTTGCGGTTTCAAACGGTTTCGGTTTGGTTTTTGAGAAAAAAAAATGTCACAATTTGAAACCGAACCAATAAAATGAAAGAAACAAGATAAAAGACCAACCAAGAAGAATCATACAACAAAAATCCCCAAACGGGAATTCGAGATAAGTATCAGCTCTCCAACTTCAAAGAAGAAAGAAAAAAAAAATCATACATCCACAGCAAATCAGACTGTTTAAAAAACTAAGTGCTCCATCCTCAGATGTTCTATAAGCAGCCAAATCAAGCAAGCTCGAGCAAATAAAAACATAACCAGAAACAATAAGATGTTCACAGAAGACAAAGAACACATCCATGACAAACCAAATAAAAGGACTACATGGTTTCTCATTAATTTTCTTTGAGTTAAGAAAGAATAAACATTCCCCAGCAAACCAAATCATTATAACCTTAATGGAAATTGAAACAAAAACTCGAGGTATCACTGTATTAAAGAACGACAAAGAAAAAAAAGCCTAAATCTGATCCAAATTATAACGTAGAAAAAAAAGCCTAAATCTGATCCAAATTGTAACTTCTAAATCCTCAGCACCCTTAGCCTGAAAACTCCTTGTTGCACTAGGATTCGACTAACTTACCCTTATTCAAACCAAACCTCTTCGTAATAGGATTCGGCCGTCCTTCACTGGACGGCCCATAACAAAATTCAAGATAAATGCTACTAGGCCAAAATGACTTGATAAGCTCATATTTATATATATTTTACATCAAATTCACTTGTCTTTTCTTAGTTAGTTCCTTATATTTTTGAGTTATTTACTTTGTTTTTGTGTTTTGTAGGATTTGTTAAGCAAAGAAAAGAAAAATAGCACAAGTGGGATTTTAAGTAACAAGTTCGTCAAAACTACCTGTGCAGATCAGCTGACTTTGGAAGCAAGTTGCGAACAACTCAGAATGAATTAGAGAATGAGCCTTATATTCTTGGAAAGCTACAGATATCTATTTTCTGGAGCATTTTGCTAATTGTTAATATCATTTTTCTAGAAGAAGTTATGGCTATTTAAACACTAAAAGGTTCACAAGAGATTGAGCAGTTTGTAACTGCAATGAAAGTAATAAACCCAATAAATCTAGCAGCCAAAGCTGATGTAGCCAAGAACAAGCCAGCTGACACCTATTCAAATATCAAAGGAAATGGAATTAAAGATGAGGATTAAGAGAGAGTAATTGGCATAAAGGCTACCTAAAGAGTTACAATTGTTTGACCATTTCCTCTCATTTATTATCATCACTAAATGGCTATTAGTGGGTGAGTTAAGGAGAAGAAAATGGGGCAGGAAGTTAAAAAGGGAAAAAGGTTGCAGGTTGCAGCGGCAAGAAGGAGGAATATGAGAATAATACGACAACAAAAAATATAAAAAAATTAAAAGATGCAAAGGGAACGAAATTTTTTAGAGAAAAGGAAGAAGGCAAGGTAGCAACACCATTGGGAAGGAAGGAAGGAGGAAGATACCTCATTCGATTCTTTTGGTTCTATCTTCTTAAACTCATGTCTATCTTTTGGTTTAATTTGAGAATTATGTGTAATTCAATTTTTAGTAGTTAGGGGTTGTTTTAAAGCCCAGATTATGGTTCCAAGTTTGTTATGACATTTCGTTTGAATTACTTTTATGAATGGATGAAAATTGATTCACTACTTGTTTCATTAATGAATTCCTTATGTGTTTTCTACGGATGCATACTTAGTAAGCATATCTAGGATTCTAATGTTATGAATATGTGTGTGTCTGCCCTTGTTGAATAAGGACCTACATATGTTCTAGAGTAGTACTTGTTAATTGCGATTAACATGTGAACCAATTTCTAGGATAAGTAAGACAATGCTGGTACTTATGATGCCTTGTGTTGACTCAAACTCTTTTCGTTCTTAATGATTTTTACTTGTTAAATCTATGAACACGCCATTCTAGATTGCATGCTAGGAACTAAGTTAAGTTGAAAACGTCATTCTCTTAACATACTACATAAGAAAGAGTAATATGTTAAGTTCTAACATTGAGCCAACTTGAGCATCTTCATCCAGAAATAAAAGGAATTTGAATGGAACATAACATGTTTGCATGATTATTTGGTGGTGGATATCAAGGGTAATTTTGTCATTTTCTGCCCAAAAATCCACGTGTTGTCTCTTGATTATTTTAGCTCCACAAATGCCCCCACACCTGTTAGGCTGCTCACAGGAAAGACAGCAGGTGTAGAGATCTCCAACTTTGATGCAGATTTTCTCTTGGACTTGGAATTAGAATTAGATTCTTCTAGGAAAGGGAAATAAATCATCTTCAAAGCATATTTAAGCCTACCTTAAGTAGGGGATTAAATCAACTTCGGAGGGCAATTATTTATCCCTACAAGAAAGAGAGAAAGCTAGAGGATATTTGTTCCTCCTCCTTAGCACTCTTCTTTGCTTGCCCATGCAAAGAACCGTCTTTCGTTGATTTCTTTGTCTTCTTCACGCAGCACCAATGTAAGAAAAACTTAATTCTCCTTGTCTTCTTCTTGGGAGGTGCTGCCATGGGGCAGCCTTCAGGGTGGTGTGGTAGAGGCCATTGCTTGTGCTGCTCGGCTTGATTAAAGCCAAGGATTGGCTCGGTATGGACAGAGGAAGTGGAGTGGCATGTGCAACAGTTTAGGCTGCCACGTTTGGGATGCTTGCCAAAATGAGGAAACTGTTTAAGTTTGATTTCTCAACTATCGTAGATGGAGTAGTCAAGTATGGAGCTACCAAGATCAGAGCTACTGAAGATGAAGTGTCGGATGAGCGAACTGTTAAGTGTAAAAGTGGTTGTTGCCCCCTGACCATTTACTGCCTAGTTGATCTTCAGGCATTCGATCTTTTGAGCTATGTGGCATTCTCGTACTAGAGAGCTTACTCAGATGGGTGTCAAGGATTTAGTTTACCCTCTCGCACTAGAGAGCAATTAGTTAATCATCTCGCACTAGAGAGCAGACCCATATGGGTGTCGGGGAATTGGTTTACCCTCTGCACTGGAGAGCAATTAGTTTATCCTCTCGCACTGGAAACCAAACCCATATGGGTGTCAGGGAATTGGTTTACCCTATCGCACTGGAGAGCAAACCCATATGGGTGGAGAGCAGACCCATATGGGTGTTGGGGAATTGGTTTTACCCTCTCGCACAGGAAAGCAATTAGTTTATCCTTTCGCACTAGATAGTATACCTATATGGGTGTCGGGGAATTAGTTTACCCTCTCGCATCGGCAAGCAATTAGTTTATCCTCTCGCACTGGAGAGC